CTCAATAAATAAAAGGGCTAGGTGTGTGGGGGAAAGGATCACCCAACACTAAAAGCTCACATACCTTGGTAGGGATCACCCCCGACGAAAATCCACGATGATCTTGTCGGAAACTTGTTGATCTCCTCTCCTCTTCTTCTTTTCTTCTCTTCTCCTTCCCTTCTTCTTCTCAAGCCCTAGCCTTCACTCTCTTAGAATGGAACAAAATGATCCAAAAATCAGCCTAACACAACAAAACATCCTCAAAAGAAATAGCTAGGGAAAAGACCAAAATGCCCTTAATGATTCCCGGACGGATTTCCTTGTCAACTGCCCAACTTTCAAAGGCCATAACTCGCTCATACGAACTCGGAATTGAGCAAACTCAGCGGCGTTGGAAAGATCATTCCACAAGCTTCCCAACCATAACTGGAACTACTCCTAACTCATCCTGAGCTAAAATTTATGACTGCTCAAATTTGGCCAAAAATCACTGATTTCCATACTTAGCCAATTTTCCAGATTTTCAACTCCTTTCCAAAAAAAAAAAAAATGAAAAATTTTCAAATTCTAAGACTCTTCTTAACTATTTCGAATTGTCGGATGTTACACTTTAAGTGTTTTTTTTTTAATTTACTATTTTGTTTTACGAACTTTATAATAAAAAATAGAATTAAACGTGCAACGCATAAATACTATCATATTTATCAAACACTATATTCATTTATCCATTATAATTATTTAGCTAAAGTTATTTTGTTTTATAAAATTATTTGTTCAAATTCAAATGAGCAATTGAATGGTACATATTTCAAGACATAAATGATTCACAAGTTTAGGGAATATTGTGTCACCCTCATAACCAATGGTGGAGAAGTAGCAAAGTCAAACTAAATTGTGTAATACTTGCACCTTTATAATATCTCTATTTATTAAACAATGATATGGAATATCAAATGATATTATGAAGATGATTATTAATATAATATAGGAGTTATGATAATCAAAATTCATGTGAATAATTGAAATAAAGGCAAATAAATGTTTATATTATAGAATATAAATAAATAAACGAGTAGTAATTGACACATTCATTTTTTATAAAATATTAAAAATAAATAATTAGGGAAAATTGTCCCCCCACCCCACCCTTCTTTTATCCAGATTTATATGATATATAGATTTGATAAAAATAGGGATCCACAAGTATGGATGTTCCATCACTTAGTAGGAGTTGCATTCTCTGAAATAGTTTGCAATAACATTTAGATATTAACTTTAACCATTTCTTTTTTCTCGCAAAAATAAACAAATAAATTTCGTTAACACTACAATAAGTTTAAACTTCAAAATACACACAATTTTAGCTTTTAAGGAAAGATTGAAGTAGCATAAACAACATATATTAAAGTAAGACGATTCACCTGTCGATTAAGAAGATGTGTAACTTATTGATAGATCACCAAAAATTTAAATACTTTGCACCATAAAATGACAATACTTTGCACCATAAAATGACAAGTCACAAGTTCAATAATTATGAGAAAAGAAAAAAAGAAACTCAATAGTCATGGATAGATTTCTTAATTACCCCAGAAAAAAAAATCCTTTGTGACTCAAAAGTTTTAGAAAGTGATACCTTTATCTTGAACAAAATGACTCCTTATGCAATGAACCTATGACTCT